AAACTTAGATCCTAGCCTTGTTGGTTGTATCCGGTGGTGGCGGCGTTTGAGCGTCGCTTCCTTCCCGAAGACGTTGTTGTTAAAGAACTTCGTCGTTCATGCACTACTAGGAAAAACCTTATACACAGAAATTTAGCAGTAGCGAGGGTCAAAAAAGCACGCTGGTGCTAAGTAGCAGTAGCGCGCCTAAGGAAACCGCGCTGCAGATAAAGTTCTAGCAGTAGCGCGTCTGGCTGTAAACACGTTACTACTAAAATTCCCACGGCTTAGCCGATAGGCTACACATAGTAGTAGCGACCTATAACAAACCGCGCTACCGCTACTTTATTTGTAGCAGCGCGTTTTAATATAAACTCGCTACTGCTAAAGGTTATAAAATTAAATAAAAAAGAAAATAGAAAGATAATTGAAAATGAAAGAAATAGAATAAGGTGAAAGGAAAAAAATAAAATGTGAAGAAAAACTAAATGAAAAAGAAAAAAAAAGAGAAAGGAGTAGCAGCAGCGTGTATCCCAGAACGGGCTGTAGCTAACGTAGCAGCAGTGCTTTTCCTGGAACGCGCTACTGCTACTTCTGACTTAACCACGGGGTTCGTCCTTCCTCACACGGCCACTTCCCCCAAATCCAACTCTCTCCACTCTCGCCGCCGTCGTCGCCCGTCGGCCGCCGCCGTCGCCCGTCGGCCTCCGCGCGCTCTCCGCACACCCTCTAGGCCGCCCCGACCCCAGATTCAACACCGTCCCCGCTCCCGACCTCAACGCCGCCCCGGACGCCGCCCCCGACCCCGACCTCGACGCCGCCATCCGCCGCACGCCCGAGCCCCGACCCTGACCTCGACGCCGCCCTGCCCCTACCTCGTCGCAGGCACCCGAGGTGAGCACGCCCGCTCCTCCCTCTCCCCTACCTATGCCTAGGGTTTCTTTATATTTTAGTTGCATAAAATTAGTTAGGATTCATGTAAGAGTGGATACAAATCGGATGCGAATGCGGCTCAAATGAGTTAGGGTTCATGTAAGGGTGAAAACGAATCAAATTTCTAAGATGAATCATAAAACGAGTAAAATTTGACCACTTATTTCACTTTATAATTGGATAATTGGAATATCCGCTACCACTTTCCACCCCTATAGGTTCATCAAATTAGATGATAATTAGGGCAGTAGTTCCTACGTACTAATTAGTTAGTAAGAACTAGGTACTAATTAGGTACTAGAATATTTTTATTTACAGTAAGTTTATTTTTAGTAAGAACTAGTTGAATTAATAGAACTAGTTAGTAAGAACTTGTTGCTATTTTTTAGTTAAAGCAATTTTTCCTGCCTCGACGTGGACGATGCCTATCCCGTATCCTCGTCGTCGAGTCGGCGGAGGACGACACCTGCTTGACCAGATCGACCATGTCCGGGGCTGTGCTCCGCCAGGGTGATACTGGGGGGCGCAGGTTGGTGAGGAGCCAGCCTGTCGTTGACCCGAACCTTCTTTGGTGGCGGTCGCGTGGGCCAGTGACGGTCCAGAGGCTCGAGGACTCCGCGGAGGTGGTGCGTCATCGTGTCAGTGAGGAGGGTACACACGTCCGTCGCTACTTGTTTGCGTTGGAGCACAGGTCGTTCTCCAATACCTGGCAGGTTCTCCAGGAATCTCACTGGAGCTATGATCCCGTGATGGTTCCTTCTCTGTGGGTGTCCACCGCCCGCGCCGATACCCGTCGTGTGCTAGGTTTTTAGTTGTATTAGTAATGTTATATGTATGGCACTATTCGTGATGTATTAGTGATAATATTTGACGATATACGGACGCATGAGATGATTTACTTTTGCTTATTGAATGCATGCTAATTTGAGTCCTATAAGATATTTTGAAATGTATATCTTGTGTTGCTCAATATCCAAGTGGCCGGTCATGTTTGCAGGTTACAACTCTGAGTGGCCTATCTTTTGCCGGAGTGTTGATTCATTTCCGTTCCGGCAAATTTCAGACGCTCGATATGTCCTATTTTAGCAAAGGTCATGCTGGATTTTTCCGTGAATTTTGACATGACTTGTACCAGAATATATAGGAAATATCGAGTGCCCCGGATTTGTGTGTTGAGTATCCTGGTAGTTGTCTTCGATCGATTTTCAATTAATGTTTTAACTATGAACATAGGAAATGTCTGATGACGAAAAGGATTTCAGTATTTGTAAATACTGCAAAGACGAGCGCAGCCTGTGCGACGGAATCTTCCTAGATGATGATAGGCGCTTCAACATCAAGCTGGACGAGAACTTCGAAGTGGATACAGTAAGTCACAACGATAAGTCTTTTTCGTAATTAAGCATGACATCTGCTTCATTTGCTTCAACTTATTTTTTTTTACTATTCTACTAGCGTATCCCCTGCCATGCAAGAGTTTTTGTATTGGATAAGATAAGTTTCAGTCATACTACGGAGGTAAAGAAAGTTTACTTGAAGACCGAGCATGGTTATATTTTCCATGCAAAATTATACAATTCAGACGAGTACACTTATTTTGGATGCAAAACATGGCGAGCACTATGCAAGACTTATGCGTTTGAGCCTGATATGGTTATCACCTTTGATATTCGTCCGGAAGATGATATTGAAGATAATACCGACATCTGGGTTGATGTGCAGACGCCTCCAGTTATACCATTATGTAAGTTTCTTAACCATATTTATGTCTTTGATATTGTTTATTCAAAAATAGTTGACAACTTATTTGTATTGTCAGCTTATTTCGGTGCAAGCAAACATGTCCAGCGCTTGGTAGACAGGACCGTATACTGTCCTGGGGCTGAACTCAACTGCGAGGAGCTCAGTCATTTGTTTTCTGGCTTCGACGATCTTGATACTGTCAAGACAAATTTTCTTCCTGCATTTAGAAATGTTAGTACTGAAAATGTGCGACCAATAGTGTTCGTAATGAACTACGGTCACATCTATTTAGGAAGGATGGTAAGATTTTTACTATTGTCCTCAGTGCATCTTTTCCATACATTATTTTTGAAGCTAAACTTCATTGCTAAGTATGTTACCATATGATGTTCTTCAACAGGTACTCCCGATGAATGTTGTGTCTTATGGGATCGAGACTAAAGGTACCATGAGTATTATCAGCTTACGGCCAAGATATCCTATAGATTACTTTAGTGCATTCAAGATTAGCGACGGATGCTTAATAGTGCAAGACTGGACCAAATATGTGATGGGGGAGCGCAGAGAAGTACTAGGGGGCAGCAAACAAATGCGCTACCCACGATTAGGAGACATGTTCATCTGCATGCTCCAACTTGATCAAGAAGGAGAGCTATACATGTTTTATGTTATTTTACCTAAGAGAGAGCAGCAGGAGTGATTAGCTAGCTAGAAATGAGTTTGAGGATGATGATGTGCTACACTATTACTATGATGATAAAATAGCTAGTGTTGGTGGTAATGACTATGATAATTATTATTAGCTAGTGTTAGTGGTGATTAAATAAATACTGTTGGTGGTAATGACTATGATGATGATTAAATAGCTTGTGCTGGCGGATTAGATTCAAGTGGAGGCAACATGTGCGCACATCGAAAGTACTACTAGTCCAAACTAGATCAAATTTGCATTAATAGTATACTTTTGACATGCACCACATATTGCCTCCACTTGAACCTAATCCACCTTCATTTGACACGCTGTTATGGACATAATGATGTAAATCTCATAACTGGTATTGTACCAATATTTATACGATGACGCATAAATACACTAAAAATAAAAAAATAAAAAAAGAATACTAGTAGCGATGGAGAGAAAACACGCTGCAAGTAGTTACATTAGCAGTAGCGTGGGAGTGAACAAACGCTGCAGCTATTTGTCCTAGCAGTAGCGCGTGCGGGCACGCGTTACTGCTAAGCAATAGCTGCAGCGCCTTATTAGTAGCGCGCCTACCCACGCTACTAGTGAGCACAAAACCAACGCTACTGCTAGGGTTTTCCCTAATAGTGATGTGGTGTCATTAAATAGTTTGTGCGGATACAATCATTGCTATTGTTTGCCGGTCGTGGATTTGATCCATTTGAGACTTTTTTTTCTCTCGCCTACGCATAGTTTTGGTCTTATATGCCTTTGCTGGCTATCGGCTTCTTTTGTTATATGTCTTGGTGTTGGTTGTGTACATCTTATCTACGCAGAGGCCAGACGTGTGCCCATAGTTTTGGCATATAATAAGCCAAATAAAAGCTCAACAAAATAACCCCAAGGGTGGCAGAAGAAAAAGCTTTGCTTGGGTGCGTGCCGGTGCTTGGAGAAATAACTGCTCCTTCCAGTCACGATGCTTCAGAGTCAGTGCCTCCATTAGCAGGAAAAAAAAGAAAGAAAAAGAGCCCAGCGGGGTTAGTTAATATTTTTCTTTTTTGAAGGCTGGGGTTAGTTAATCATGATCGAGCTTGACCCTAAATAGCATTGTCTAGCGCATAGCGTCACGGCCTCTCCCAAGCAAACCGGCCTCCCATCGAGAACGTACGCACGCCTTCTCGAACCTTTCCTTGCCCCTGATATATACCATCCCTTCTCCCCCTCACGACACCAAACAAAACCGTGCGAAAGCCAGACATCAACCGATTTCCACGTGATCGATCTCAACATCCCCAGCAATGGCCTCCCGCCGTGGCTTCTATAGCTACGATCATGACGACGGCTTCTTCCATGGCTTCGGCGCCACCGAGCCGGCGGCGCGTCCGATGCCAAACAGCGGGTCGCCGAAGAGTTGCTCGGACTGCTTCGAGGTCGAGGTCACGGGCCCCGACTCGCCAACGGCGGTTTCGAAGAAGCCGGCACCGTCAGCGGAGGAGGCCGCGGTGAGGTTGCAGGCGGCGGCGCGCGGGCTGCTCACTCGTCGCATGGTGCGGGAGGTGCACGCGGTGGAGCGGCAGGCGGAGGCGTGGCCGCGAGGGTGGCGGCCGAGGCGGAGGCGCTGCGTGGGGACGCGAGGAAGCGCATCGGCCTCGGGGAGGAGCTCATGCGGTTGCTGCTCCGCCTCGACGGCGTGCGCGGTGCCCGGGAGTACCGCAGGAGGGTCACGCGGCGCGTGCTCACGCTCCAGGAGGCAGTCGACGCGCTCGAGGCCGCGCCCGCGGTGGTGACCGCCGATGCGTCAGACGTTCAGGATGAAGAGGACGAAGTAGAGGATGGGATCACGGTTTTGATTTTCGGCCGAGAAAATCATATTTCGGCCGAAATTCGGCCGTCTCGCTTGGGCCCGGTAAAAGTCTTTGTCAGCTGAATTTTTCGGCCCAGTTTGAATTTTTTTGGCCCAGCCCAGCTTCCGGAGGCTTCCCATTACGCTTGCCTCAGCCAAAACGATCGAAACGAACACCCAAACCCTAAACAATCTTATTTTCTCCTCCTGTGTTGTGCGGCGGCGGCGCTGCGCACTGGGCACAGCAGCCACGCGTCCATGTCTCGTCCCCGTCGGCCCCCCAACTCACGCCTGCTGCTCCTGCATCGTTCGCTCCTCCGCGACCCCTGCCGCACGCCTCTGCCGGCTGCCGCTGAAGCCGTCCGCAACTCCTCCCTAACTCTGCTAAAGACTGTGGTACGTGCATGTCTTTTCTGTGAGGCCTTGTTCGCTCGATGGTCGACGCAATTAACAAACCTTCTCCTTTCCGTTTGTTCTTGAAGGCTGCTCCATGGCGATCTCACGTCTTTGTTTGCGAAACCTGTTGTTGTGGACTGTGTACAGGGAACTTTTTATGCTGATTTTAATCCCCGGTGCTAGTCTGCTAATCATTATATTTTCTACTTCCCAGATTTATGTTGGACTTCTATCTTTGGTATCAGTTGATTTCAACTTTTTGGTTAAATTTCAATCAAAATTCAAATTTTGGTTTAACAATTTCGTCCGAGATTTTACCGGAATATTTGAAATGACCGAATTTCGGCCATCTCGGTCATGGCCGAGAAAATTCACAAACCGAAAGCCAAAACACAGGATGGGATGGAGCCGGAGTTGCCGGTTGAAGATGACACCGCAGCGGATCCTCTGGCTATCGAGACAACCGACACGGCGGCGATGGAGGTTGATGCTGTGAGTCCCGTCGTTGTCAACGAGGCCGGCCAGACCGAGACCGAACTGGTCTCCGAAGTGGAGAAGGACTCGGAGGAGGAGGGCGAGTGGGAGATGGTGGCCACGGGGGACGGCGACGTGTCCACCGACGAGGAGGACCCTGCACCGCTCAAGGCGCTGCAGCAGCAGCAAGAACAGGCACAGGAGGAGAAGAAGACGGTGACCACCGACGGGCTGGACGCAAAGAAGTTGATGGAGATGGTGGTGACGCTGTGCGAGCGGAGCGCGCAGGAGTGCGCCCTCATCGGGGCCCTGGCGAAGCGGGTGGACACGCTGGAGCGCGCCGTCCGGCGAGTGGAGGTGGCCGACCGACGCAGGCGGAGGAACAAGAAGACCAACAAGGATGGCGAGAAGAACACAACAGCGACTAGATATCATAAATAGCTTCTACTAGCATGAGGCTTCGATTTGATTTTTTTCATTAACTTTTAGTAATCTTGCATTTGTTTCAATTCCGTTGATTGTATGAACAAACTTACATCATGTCGGAAAATTTCATTAGTTTCAATTGATTTGTGTGATGCTTGAGCTTTCAAACGTTCAGTAGAGGAGCCGAGTCAGCTAACTGTTGTGCATCCTTTGGTTTCAGTGGAATCTCTTCAGCAAAGTAGTAGAGGGTAACAGCCATACAAAACAGAAGGAATACTTGCACGATAGATAATTTGTCAGCTTACTCTTTTGCCAGCAGTGCGCTTGTACAATTATATTGAGAGCTTCGAACACCTAGGTCAAATGCAGAACCTCTGAGAACTTACAACTGCAATTAAAAAAGCTGCACAGACTAATTCCATAGCAAACCAAATGCACCTTCTCGGACGCCATCATCATAAGCTTTCCTTTCACTCGCGTTTCCTTCTGGGTCACCGTGATAAACTTCACGCCCCATCCAGTCGGTGTCAAAAAGGAAAAAAGGAAACCATGACACAGCTGCAAAACAGATGAAATGTGATGAACACCATCAGTTTCCAGCAAAAGAGACCATCAGCAAGCAGCTGATGCACACCTATCTATTTAATCCATTTTTATAGCGTACCCATGTTAGGGCCATAACTAAGCACAGAGTACATTCCAAGAGGCAGATGCCTCATGCTGGGAAAATATCTGGAGCTCTGGGAGGTGCTCCCGTGAGAGCTCGGCCGTTGGATCACAGATCCAAGAGCTCATGGGAAATGATACACTTTTTTGCAAAAAAATCCTTGTAGAATCTAAAAAATGCACGCAAGTACATCAGCTATAGCAGCTCTTCGTATGCCGTTAGATCTGAGATCCGAGGGTCCAGAAGTCCGTATCATGGGAGCACCTATGCTCCGGTATCACAGGATACTCTCCCGCCTCATGCTAATGAATATTCAAAATATTCTTCTTACATAAAATGTTTCATCTCCCTTCTTGCCGCATGGTCACCGAAGTGCTAAGACCGTGGTAACGCCCACAAGCACTACAACATAAATTTGCAACCCTGAACAGAATCAGGTTGCGCACGAAAACGCCGACGAGTGGATATTGCTGCACGACGACACGGTGACGTCCTCTAGAGCCACATTGCCACAGGTACTTGGATAGTGTGCGGGACGACACCCGAGGGCTGACGAAGTGCGAGACCACAGCTAACAGCACGAAAAGGGCATTACGTATGATGTTGTAGGCGATGCTGCGGACCGCCGCCGTGCTCGTGACGGCGGCCAGGGCCGCGTAGAACGCCAGGACCATGCTCACCAGGGACAGCCACAGTCAGTGCAGCGCTGCCGCGAAGTTTTTCCACGACCCGGCGGAGCGCGACGCCTTGCCGTAGAGGAGCAGCACCACCAGCACCAACGCGAGCACGGAGGTCACCAGGGCGAAGGTGTCCAGGATGAGGAAGCACTTGAAGATGGCCTCGTGCTGGAGGACCGCCATGCCTTTGATCACCTCCTCCCCCTCGGGATCGGTGCCGCCGTCGCTCTGCTCGTACGAGCCGGGCAGGTTGTTGGCGGCGGTGAAGGCGACGCTGGCCGCTGGCGACAAGGACGGCGATCACCGCGAGGCTGTCAGACGTCTTCTCTATCGCCTTGGTTATGTCGTGGCTGTCCCATTGCTGCACGCGGTCCCGCCTCTCGGGACGAGACAGCGCTCCGAAGGCGGCCAGCGTTGCCACCAGGCTGACCATGGAGAAGAAGCTGGTCGACCTCACGGCGAGGTCCAGCGGCGTCTCACCGTCGTTGTTCATGACGTCGTCCCGCACTTTGCCCTTCCCCATCAGGGCCTCGGCCACGGCCGGCGCGCCCGCGGCCACCGCCAGGTGGAGGGGCGTGTTGCCGTCGCCGTGCTGCGCGTTCAGGAGGCTGCGTAGCGGCCGTTTTTTGATCGCCAGCCGCACCACCTTGAGGTGGCCTCCCCTGGCCGCGGTCGTCCCGGAGCTCGGCGGCGTCTGGGCAGGCTTTGATCAGCGCCTCGGTGACGCGGTCGTGGCCCATCCCTGCCGTGACATGGAGAGCGGAGAGGCCGCCGGAGTCCCGCATGCGCACCACGCATGGCGGCACGGCGCGTAGGATGGCACCTACGACGGAGACGCGGTCACCGGTGGACGAAGCAAAATGAAGCGGAGTGCTGCCGGTGTCGTCGACTTGGCTAACCAGGGATGGGCCACATGGCATCCACTCCAATAGCAGCCTCACCATTTCTGACAATGTTCAGATCGATGGTATATGTATGAGCCGAGGATTAGCAAATCTGCATGCACTTTGAGAGCTCACGGTTCAAGGAGGAGCTCCCTGGCTAGCTAGCTCACCTGAGCCCTG